GGGTCTACCACGCTTCAAGCATGCACTGGATGAATCACTCGTTGCCACTTTATTTTGTCCAACAGAGACATCAATTCATGCAGGTGTGTTTGCAGCTAGTATATGTGACTTTGTCACTTTCGAAGCATCATTAAATGCATCTGGCATTTGATTAGCAATACCTTGAAGATAAACGATCATTTTCACTTCATTTTCACATTGAGTGCTTCGTGGATCAAAATGAGATAAGGTGGGAACAACCCATGTCAGCTATTGCTGTTCTTCTGGAATGGTATTTTCTCCCCTTAACGACGGGAAGATTGTCTCATCAAAATGACAATTAGCAAAACGAGCTGTAAACATATCACTAGTTAAAGGTTCCAAATATCTAATGATAGATGGTGAATCAAAACCCACATAAATTCCCAATTTGCACTGAGGTCCCATTTTAGTTCGTTGTGGCGGTCCAATAGGCACATAAATAGCACAACCAAAAACTCGTAAATGTGAAATATTTGGCTAATGTCCAAACACGAGTTGTATTGAAGATTATTGGTGGTTGGTTATGGGTCTCAGTCGAACCAATGATGCTACGTGTAAGATGACATGTCCCCATGCAGAGACTGGCAATTTTGTTTTCATGAGTAGAGTGCGGGCTATTAATTGAAGCCGCTTGATAAATGCCTCTACTAAACCATTTTGAGTATGGACATGAGGAACAGGATGTTCAACATCAATGCCCAGTGCCATGCAGTAATCATCAAATGTTTGAGACGTAAATTCACCAGTGTTATCAAATCGAATGGACTTAATAGGATAATCTGGGAACTGTGCTCAACTTAATTATCTGAGCAAGAAGTCTCGCAAAAGCGACATTTCGAGTAGACAATAGGCAAACATGTGACCATCGGGTATCAACCAAAACCATAAAATATCAAATGGTCCACAAGGTGGTTGAATAAGTCCACAAATATACCCTTGAATTCTTTGCAAAAATGATGGGGATTCATTATCAACCTTTAGTTATGATGGTCTAGTTACGAACTTCCCTTAGGAACAAGCCTTGCAAGGGTTATCATTTGAGACATCAATGTGTCTGCTTAATAATGGATGTCCATTAGAGTTGGTAATTATTCTACGCATCATGGTAGATCCTGGATGACCCAGACGGTCATACCAAAGCATATAAACCTTTGAATCCATGAACTTCTGGTTCATGACAGCATATGTCTCAACTGTCTTTATGTATGTATAATACAATCCACTCGATAAACCATGCAACTTCTCCAATATACGCTTCTGGGTATCATTTGAGTTAATGCATTAATATTCCACATTTTCTACACTTTTCGTTTCAATGTGGTATCCATTTAGACGTATGACTTTAAAACTCAACAAATTTCGAATGGATCGAATAGCGTATAATGCATTATGTATGGACAATATTGTTCCATTTGGTAACATAATCTAGGCTTTTCCTGAGCCTTCAATTACATCTGATTGACCTAATATTGTTGTTACTTTTACTTTTGCAAGTACCAAATTCGAGAAATACTTTCGATCTCGAAGTATTGAATGCGTGGTTGCACTGTCTGCAAGACAAAAGTCTCCGCCATTGCTCTTGTTTTGAGAATAACCATAACTTTTATCCATGTTCTCTGAGTAAAGAAATTACAGTTAAAAGCAGTTTATTCATACTGGAATACTACTTTTATTGAATTGAAAATGCGAGCATTAAACCACAAGTACAAATAACATGAGTACATTAAACATAAATGATTCAATCGGACCCATAAACTTCATTCCTTCTTTCAATAATAAAGTCTGAAGCATCCAGGTGGGTTGTGTTCAACTGTCCTGATAAATTGGTAACTGGATCAGGTGTTTCCATTGGTTGAGCCTGGTCGGGGAAATTGATCTCGACACCCTTCTCCTTGAAGGAGGCTTGATACAGATTCACCAGATGTTTTGGGGTGCGATAAGTACGCGCCCAATGTCCGTTGCCACCACACCTATGGCAAACTCCTTCAGGATTTCTACGAGTGTTCATATGAGCTTTTCCTTTCTGATGATTTGCATTTTTAAAGCTCGGACCTGGATTATGCCTTGGAACCTAGTTGTGAAACTGGACACCATGGTTCTTGCCTTTCTTGTTCCACCGGCCTCACTTGTGGCCACGTCCTCGTTTGTAATTATTGCCACAGAAGGATATGGTATTCCCTTCAAGGAAAGCAGCATTCACTTCTGGGAACGGTGCTGATTCGGTCAATCGGGACTGATGATTTTTCATTAGGAGCTCATTGTTTTGTTTAGCTACCAAGAGTATAAATATCAGCTGGTTGTATTCAGTGAAGCCTCGCGCTCTATATTGCTGATGTATGAGCACGTTAGAGGCATGAAATGTGCTGAAAGTCTTTTCCAGCAAATCTTCCTCAGTAATAGTATCCTCACAGAGCTTCATCTGAGATGTAATTCTGAACAACGCATAATTGTACTCTACTACTGACTTGAAATCCTAGATCCTTAGGTGAGTCCATTCATAGCGAGCTCTTGAAAGAATCATCGTTGTTTGATGATTGTATCTGTTTCTCCAGGCCTTCTAGAGGGCTAACGGATCTTCAAGCGTTAGGTACTCGCTCTTTAGTCCCTCATCAAGATGGCGACGAATAAAAAACATGGTATTCGCTCGATCTTGAGAGGATGAGATGTTTTCTTCCCTAATGGTATCTCCAAGATTCGATGCTTCCAGATGGATCTTAGTATCCAGTACCCATGTAAGGTAATTCTTCACAGTAATGTTCAGGGCAGCAAAATCAAGCTTTGCCAAGTTTGCCATTTTATTTTCTGAAAGAAAAATGAGGTGTGTAAGAGCTTGCAATAATCTGTGTTATGGAGGAATATATTGTTAGAACTTCTGGTTCTTACAAATTTTGATCTTCAGGCCAAAATGATAAGTACTCGAAACTTCAGGCTCGATATTTTCATGATTAATGAGAAGGGTGATTGTACCGCACCATTCTCATCGAAACAAGTATAGGATGGGCAATTATTCCGCATCACTGTAAACAGCAGGAAAATTTAAATATGTAGAGCAGGGTGGACGATTACACCGCACCACCTAAAATTGCGATAAAATTTAAATATGCAGAGCAGAGTGGACGATTATACCGCACCACCTAAAATTGCGATAAAATTTAAATATGCATAGCAGAGTGGGTGATTATTCCACACCACCTAAAATTGCGATAAAATTAAATGTGTAGAGCAGGATGGGTGATTATTCCACACCACCTAAAATTGCAATAAAATTAAATAGCAGGTAAATTTAAATATGCAGGATAGGGTGGGTGATTATACCACTCCACTTAAAATATGCAGTAAAATTAGATCTGCAGTCCAAGATAGGCGATGATACCGCACCATCTTGGATTGAATAAACAAACACTGAGTTAGTAGTCAAGAGTTACACCAAACAAGAAATCAAAGATATAAGTAACTGTTAGGTTGAGAACTAGAAGTAAACATGGTGCAAACAATTCCTCACGAGGGTATATCCAGCAATTGAGATAGATGAAGAAAAAGACTAGTAAAAACCTTAGAGGAAACAAATTTTTTTTTCTTTCGATGAAGGGAAAATGAGAAATGGTTAGAGAGTCGTGCTGATAATGTGTTATAAATAGGTAAAAGTTAGAGAAATAACATTTGCTAAGAGCGAGGACGAAGTGGTACAAAATATCACATTGTTTAGTTTTTTACTACCACCACAAAAGTATTACAGATATTAGAAAATGAGGGATACTAAGAGTATTATATTTCTTCCTTTTCTCTTCTTGATATTCTCTGACTTTGAACAATCGAAGTGCTCTATTTATAGAGCCACTTCAATGGAAACTTACAAAAGGGTTACTATTTAGCATATGAGGCTTTATTATACACTTGTGGGCAAACATACCCACTATTTACAACAAATAAGACATTTTTCCAAGAAGACCATGTGCATAAGCCCAATATTTTTCTTCACTTCTCTCCCCTCCTTTGTTGTTTTATCACTTTTCTACCCCTACATTATTTTTCTCCATTCGTTTCTAGTATATTATGCATTAAGTACATTTTAGTTTTAGTTTAAGATCTACACTTTGGTTTTGAGATAAGTCTTTCTATCTTTTGATTTATATTTATATGCACACTTTCTATCCTCCAGTCACAAATCTTGTAGATCTAGTAGTGGAAAATCAAATTTACTTGAATTTGTGGTTGAAATATGTGTTTGGTATTAGAAGTAGAAAATTAGAAAAAACATATATATAATTTTGGTTCATGAACCGAACTATATGGTTTTAGTAATAAATTTAAGCAGAATCACACCAAACCGAACCGTTGAAATTTTCCGGTTCCGGTTTCATTTTGAGGGTGGAACCGGACCGTGTCCACCCCTATTTATATTTATTCATTTATATATTAACCCATATGAAAATTCGCATGGAAAGTAAATAATTTGTTCAGAAATGTGCAAATTTGATAAAAAAATTATTTTCGCACTCACTTTTATTCATTTTTAGCATTTGATTGATCAAATAAAAAAATCAAGAGAGAAAGAAAAAGAGTGCAAAATCATTTACCTTATGCACTTCCTTTTTTTTCCCATGCAGCCCTTCCTTTTGCGAGTAATGATGGAAACATCTGGAAGAATGAAAATCGTTGCACATGTGATTATCCGTACTATAATTATTGCAAAACAATGTAAAAGAAACTGAGGAGTTGTTACAGAATATTGGCACTCAAAAAACATTATCTTTTTAACTTCTCGAAGTGCAGCTTTTCCCCTATGTTTTTATAAGAGATGCGTGTATGATGATGTTTTTGGAATACCAATAACATCGCTTTGTTATGATTCGGAGCATAAAATTTGAGTCTTGAGATTGTGTGTGAGTGTGAGTGTTCTGATTGTTTAACCAGAGATTATCTTAATTTTGGCTGAAAAAATGTCAAGTTGTTTCCATGGCTGCGTGTTTTTGTTGGCTATGGTAGTATTTGCATTAAGTACACCATGCTTGCATGCTCTTCGGATTGTCAAAACTAAGACAAGAACTAGTGTTTTTGTCTCCCCTAAGTTTGTGTTGGGACCAGGATCAGTTGCAGACAAGTATTACTACAATATCGACTTCCCGAGAGGTCATATTTCAATCAAGAGCTTCAATGGTGAAGTAATTGATAAGGAAGGGAATCTGATTCCCCTTCACGAATCTTATCTCCATCATTGGGTTGTCGGAGATATTATGGCCGGATAGGTTTTGTCGAGCCGGAGGAGATTAGTTTTGAGGAGTTTCAAAGGTCGGATTTTTACTTCGTGAGAAACTGTTGGAACCAGTCACTAACCCTAGCAACCCTAGCATGTCTTTTCACATCACAAGTCTCCAAGTAATCATGGATGCACAAGTTAACCGCTTGCATTTCAGTTTTCTAGCTCCTTGATTTAAAGCCCTTAACTTGCTGATTACTTCTTAGTCTTGGATTTGATGTAAATCACCTTAAATTATGGAAAAGCTTGTGTCCTAGGTTTACCCGATCTCTAGGGTTTCATGTAAAGATGGTTGCTTGTAACCATTTGTTTCTCTCGCCAGTATATACTGCCTTGTACATTCAGAATTATTCATGAAATAGAAATACTTTGAAACCATAAAATCCACATGGTATCAGAGCGGTGTCATCCTTGACATGTCTCTGCCCGTGTTGTTTCCACTGTTGTTCTTTTAAGCTTCTGTAATGGGTGAGGAAAGCTCAGTCAATCTTGAGGGAGAAAGCTCTCAGGTAGCTCCCTCGAATTTTTTAAACGCTGAAGTCAATACCAACCAATGTCTATACTCGATGCTGTTGAATGAGTTCAACTACCTTCCTTGGTCTAAAGCAGTTTCACTCGCTCTACGAGGAAGGGGAAAGTTAGGGTTCATCAATGGAAGTGTTGAAACTCCAAATCCTTATTCTCAGGCCTATGAAGCATGGCTATGCAAGGATCAACTTGTCATGTCCTTATTGCTCAACACTATGGAGAAACATGTTGCTGAGTATTCAATTACTATGAATCCTCATAAGATTTGTGGAAATCTGTGAATGATATGTATGGAAACTAGAATAACGATACTAGAGTATTCAAGTTGAAAAGAGATATTGCTTGCCTTCAGCAAGAAAAGAAGTCTTTTGTTCACCTCATCGGTATGATATGCTGTAGTAGTATTCACTCAAGTTATGATAACGCATCAATATTCCGGTGTTTGCCGTTTTGTATGAACTTAGTTCCTCTTTTTTTTTTATGATTGAGGCTATATCTTTCTATTGTGCAGGTTGAATATGATGTCGAAGAGTCTTGCAGTGCGAATAGTGATGCGTGCATTGACAGCCAATCATCAATGGCTACTATGCCGACTGGTGGTTATGTCGTCTATGGTGTAGCTCATCAGCACACAGGGGGAATCGGTTCAACTCTATATGGAGAGGTGATTTCTTCTTCTACTCTTATCAATTTGGTTTCTGCTAGCCTTAAAATAATCTCTTTCGACATATGGTAGAACTCAAAAACCCTTGATAATTCCTGCTAGCCTTAAAATTATCTGCAACTAGACTGTAACAATTTGCAGTTGAATATCAGAGTGCGTAACGAACAAAACTATAAAATAATAAGAATATTATTAAACAAACTAGAATGTCGAAACGGCTACAAAACCCTAAGAGGCTACATTGTGAATGACTTGTTCATTATACGAGCTACGAAGCATCATATATATAGAGAACTAACCTAACCCTAATAAGCAAGAAAACGAAACTCAAATACTAATGGGCTAAGCCCAAATTCAAACAATAAAATAATCCCAAATTCCAACACCCCTGTCAAACTCATGGCGGTACACGTCACGAGTTTGCCAATAAGCAGATGCGGATGCAAGCTCTGTTAGGCAGACAAGACAAGACAACCTCCTTTAGGCGGACACAACAAGGCAAGCTCCTTTAGGCGGACACAACAAGGCAAGCTCCATTAGGCAGACAAGACAAGACAAGACAAGCGGGCAATCAATCAAGTGAGCAAATGAATAATCCAGGCTTCAATCAACAAGGCCCAACAGATTGTGGACTCTGCTCCATACCTTTTTTTTCTTTTTTTCCTGTTTTCTTTCTTTTCCTTCATCTTTCTTCAGTTCCGGTAGAAAAATGGGCTCAAAACATGTGTAGACCAACATTCTGAACCCAGACTCCGAGGTGCGGTTGTAGCTTTTCAAGCGAGAAGCAAAGAACAGTTGCAGGATTTCAGGCAATGATGGAGGCGTGACTGGGTGGCTTGGCGGCGAGGTGGATTCGAACGGCAGATGTGCTGGGTTTCTGGTTGCAACGGCAGCATGCAGATGGGGTTCGTGGGTCTGGGTGAGAATGAGAACGAGCAATGCGGTGGTGGGCGGACGAGTTTACAGGTTCAAGGCTGATTTGCAGCGTCAGATGTGAACAATAATAGGATCGTACAGGTCCGAGTTCTGGGCAGCAAGGCGGTGTGGCGTGGCTGGTGGTGCGACTTATGGTTCTGATGTAGATTCCACACAGGCGATGAGACGGATGGGTCTCCATCAGCATGCGGCGGCGGGACTCTAATTTTGCTTTCATCTGTTTTTTTTTTTTAAACTACCCACAAATAAACAGTCTAAACCATTCAAGGCAGAAACAAGATCCCAAAACCAAACCAGAAGAAGAAGAAGAAAAAAAAAAAAAAAAAAAAAAATTTCACGAACCTAATGTCACACCCTAAAACTTGAGGTGTGAGATTAAGTAAAATAAATAGACCAAAGTGGTTGTTTAAGGATGCAAAACAAATCTCATCTTAAGATTATGTCAACGAAAATTTAAATTTCCCAATTCCCTTAAAGTTAAACCACAAAAGTCAATTTAAAGAATAGAGTTAAAGACTCATGGTAATACAACTACAAAAGCGACCTGAACCGTAAAATTCACCGAAAATAACATGTTCAACCAAAATGAGTGAAAATTTCCAGATCCAAACTAGAGCCATGAAACTAAGTTGTGTCAAAATTTCATTAATTTTCGAGTTCGGGAAGTATAGGAAAATTTTAAAACTAAAACAGGCATGCTGCTTTTCCTGTAAAAACAATTTCAACAGCACCAAATTACTTTGCAAATAAAACTATCTATATTCCAAAGAACAAAAATCTGAATTTTGCAACATACCACTTAGGTAATAGATACACACCCACAGTTTTAAACATAACCAAGTTCATAGTGGTTCTTCAAGAGCCATTCATAAAACCTTACATATTAAAATAGGTTCACAAAAGACCTTTAGGGCTTCTAACAAGAAAATATTTTCAGGCCATTTGACGAAAATGTACATGAGCAAAACTATACAAGTCAAAAGACGAGTAGTTATATATACATGGTTCTCATGGCCCAGGTAAGTAGTGACTTTAACCGACTGAGGTCTACAACTTAGGCTACTACACAACAAAAGGATCGATTACAGACAGAGACCAACTATACAACACTTTGGTAGCTCACCCAAAAGACGTGGACGCCCGGACTCCCTTCAACTAGCCCACACTAGAGCTGCCACTTAAAAATCAGCTAGTCGACTCTACACACCTGAAAGTACATGTTTAGAAAAACGAGGTGAGCATAAAATGCTCAGTAGGGGTAAGTCTGTAGTCATTTAAAATCTCTAGTGCATGCCGAAAGTAATAAGAGTGATTCAAAACCGTTTATTTTCACTACTATGTAATCCAACAATTTGAAATATGCTCAAAAATTTCTGGAAAATAACATATGACAAAAAAACCAAAGGTTTTGGAGCATTCGTAGCTTGATAACAACGGTACAACACACAAGTTCAAAATCACTTCTTTTGTCATGAGGATAACAAAGCCATTATCATTTAAAGAATCACTAGCACACCAAATCACAAAGATCTTCCTTTATCCCAACAAGTGATAAGCAGATTGGAAAGAACCGTAATATACCTGGCCAATATACATATCACATGTATTTATCACTTTTGTAACTCATTCTCACAGCCCCCACACATGGAGCTTTCCTCAGGGAACCTTGGGTCATTGTGCCCATAATCAAACAACTTCACGGGTCATTTTGCCCATTCATACATTTCTCAACATTCTCAACTGCATAGGTATTACACCACTTTTCATCTACTTTCACAATTTGAACATTTGTATCAAGATGCTTCAGAAATTGATATTGAGTAAAATGAGAGGCATGCACGTCAAAACACAATTTAAAAAAAAATTATGGCAATCACTTTAAACTCCCCAAAGTTATAGCAACGAAATTCGAATTATTCAAATCAATCTAAAGAGTAATATTTGTTCCACTTCTTCCACATAATCGAAAATGGAAAAACATTTCAAATAAGCTTGAAATAGTGCTCAAATGCCAACAATCCTTGATCAAGTAAAAATGAAAAATCAAAATACTTTTATAGTTAAAGCTCCCCTACCTCAAACTAAATTTCTTGACATTCAACTTCCAGGGAGTTCGTCGACTTGTGCCATAGTCCCCTTATCCTTCTCTTCCTTATCTATAAGTAAGAAAAATCATCACACACAACTTATACAAATATCTAACAACATACCCTAATTCAAGGTTAATTGGGGACTTTAATCAAACACTTGGTGCTCAACTCTAAAACTATAACATGAACTATGACACCTTCATGTTTCCTACTCCCACCCAAACTAATTCATGGGTTAACAAACGAAAAAAAATCAAATAGATCTCAAAGGTAAGAGAAATAGATACCTTAAATGGAGACAAAGGAAAGATCCTCACTTGTTCTAATCTTCACAAGCAAAGAAACTAAACTCCTCTTCCTTAGATTTTCTATTTGGTAAGTTAAGAGCTAAAAGGGATAAACCCCTTTCCTTTCTTTTGGCTGGAAGGGAAAAGGAGCTAATGGGGGGGGGTTTCTAGAACCCATCCCCCTTTTTATCCTAAACTAGACAAGACAACAAAATGATATTAAACAAGAGCAGATTAAATCCCGAAGGATTGTACCTGCTCTGATACCAAGTTGAATATCAGAGTGCGTAACGAATAAGACTACAAAATAATAAGAATATTATTAAACAAACTAGAATGTCGGAACGGCTATATAACCCTAAGAGGTTACATTGTGAATGACTTGTTCATTCTACGAGCTACAAAGTATCATATATAGAGAACTAACTTAACCCTAATAAGCAAAAAAACGAAACCCTAATACTATTGGGCTAAACCCAAATTCAAACAATAAAATAATCTTAAATTCCAACATTTGCACCTTGCATTTCCAAGTCCGTGACCATATTGTATGTAGGATTTAGCTTTAATCACTGCATTGTGATATCTAAGTAATGTGCTTGTTTGTGATTATTGTAGGATGGACGGGTTCTGTGTTCGTCAATACCAATTTATGGAAAAGGGAAGGAAGCTGGACATGAGGCTGGTTATATTGTAGGAATGTCGACTTGTTATCCTCAACCCGGCTCAGTCAAAATAAACGATGGGGAGACTCTGACTCTAGTATCTAATTACAGTAGCGCCCAGACACACACAGGAGTTATGGATCTCTTCTACATTTTGGTTGCAGACTATCTTCCAAAGTCCGCTGCGCTTAGCTTGGACACTACACTTTGAGCAATATACCAATGAACATTAAGGTTGATGAATCTAAATAACGCGTCCGGGTTGTTTTTCACCAAAAATCAACTTCTTTAATCAACCGAGTACTGACGTGGTTTTGTTCCTGCAGATTTCTGAGTCGTATAAGCTAAAGGTTCCCGCGTCCTTCATCAATGCCAATGAGGAAGAGGTTGGCGATGGCTATAGATTGGTTTTGGTGTGAACTTTTACGTATGAATTATGTGAAGTGTCTTGATTCTACTTCTCACTCAGTGTCAGTGCAGTGATATGTAGATATAACAAAGCCAATGTACCCTTTGGTTGAACAATTATTGAGCTTTTTCTTCAAGTGTTTTGTTAAATGTGGTGAACTTTTGAAGCTCAATTCATTATGTTCCATATAAAAAGCACTCCTACCTTTTGTGTGTGCACCGTGGTATGATGGATGCTAGGAGTAGTTTGCAAAATCTAGAGTATATGGGTTTAGAAGCATGTCATCAAATCAAGACTCCCTATTTTTGCCAAGAGAATTTCCTTTTAACAATTTTGCTCGTGTACGTGGCTATTTGGTTTAACGGCACTCAATTTCTACTTTATGAAAAATGTCGTGAGTTGGAATCTCATATACAACATTTGTTTGTTCATTTACCGCAATGTGATATTCTGAAATACTATAATAGAGTGAAGTATGAATGTAAGATGTGGGTACGTTGTTCTTGTTTGCTCCAAAATTGATTTGGATGCGTATATATTTATCTAAATGTATTAAAATTCAAGTCGATGAATCATGTCTCAACCTAATGTAACTAAGAAAATAGTCGTGTTGGAATTGGTTTTTTAATTTGCATGATTTTTTACATTTTTACCTGCGCGATCAAATTAAAAGTCGAGTTAGTTTAGGGTTGATTGAACCCAAATTTATCATCAACATCTCATTAAATTTTATAAAACGAAAAATAAAAAGTAAAATAACATGGATGAGGGAAATAAACTTGGAATTTGGATAAAAGTCAGAATTTATAAATTGACATGCACCAATTCTCTTGTTTGGATTTATAACATAGAAATTTAGAATTTCCGCGTGGAAAAAAAACTTGGAATTTGGGGTCTCCAATTTCCAAGTTTAAATTCCATGTAAATAGGTGTCATTTCCCAATTTCTATGATAGGGAGTTTAACACTATGTTTAGATGAAGAAATTTAAGATTACTAAGGAATTTTAAAATGAAGGAAATTTAAACGATGAAATTTTATTATATAGAATTTGTGAATTTTCTTGTTTGGGTAACCTAAAAGAACAATGGAATTGAATACAGAATTTATTGTTTTTAAACTCTCAATCATAGAAATTGGAAAATGACACATTTATATGGAATTTAAACTTGGGAATTGGAGGTCCCAAATTTCAAGTTTTTTTTCCATGCGGAAATTCTAAATTTCTATATTTTTGAATCTAAACAAGGGAATTAGTGCATGTCAATTTATAAATTCTGTCTTTAATCCAAATTCTAAATTTATTTTTTTCATCCAAATATAGTATAAAATTAACAAATTTCATTTTCAATTTCATTATTCTTTTAAGTTAACTAAACAATAAAATTCATATATTTTATAAAATAAAATCTGTTCATTTTAATTTTCGTTATTTTAAAATTTCTTAGTAATCTTAAATTTCTTCGTCAAAAACGCAAAAAAAGAAAGTGGAGGAGTGAAAGGCGACCAAACACGAGGAAGAATATCCACTTCCATTCCAGAGCGATCCTTCTCCTTCACCGTCAGGCTCATATCAGACGATCTTCACCTCCTCCGTCGTATTTATATACTGCAGATAGTATTTATATATATATATATATGTATGTATGTATATATATGCCCACTCGGCTGTTATAATCTGCGTTACCGGTCCGCTCCTTAACTACCATTAAATCCAATCCACCCAATTTCTAAGATTGAAGAAGAAGTTGAGTTCCCATCTCCCCCAACCCTCATTTCCTTTGTCCTGTTTTTATCTTTGCTGAATGGCGATGGCTGAAGAATTTATCATGAATTTATGATCGAACACCCAAAAATCCACCAACCATTTGCCCAAATTCGCAAATCTAATACCTTTAATTGTGGGTTGTGATCGATTTGATCCGCCATTGAAGAAACTCGAAGAACATTGAAGAAGAAGAAGGGGAAATAAGAATTGGGTTTTTATGTCAGGGGCAAAGCCTGCCGCGGCAGAGCATGTCAGCTTCTCCAAAGTAGATGTGAACAAGTCCACCGCCTCCGCCACCGCCAGAGCCGACGGATGTTGCAATCCGGTCAAGAAAACTGGACCCATTTCGATGGATCACGTTCTTCTAGCGTTACGGGAGACCAAGGAGGACAGGGAAGTCCGAATTCGAAGCCTTTTCAATTTCTTCGATGCTGAAAATCTTGGGTATTTGGATTATTCTCAGATCGAGGCCGGACTGTCGGCCCTTCAGATTCCTCCGGAGTACAAGTACGCCAAGGATCTTCTGAAGGTCTGTGATGCCAACAGAGATGGAAGGGTCGATTATCCCGAGTTCCGGCGGTACATGGATGACAAGGAGCTCGAGCTCTACCGCATTTTTCAGGCCATTGATGTTGAGCACAATGGCTGCATTCTGCCTGAGGAGCTATGGGATGCCCTTGTCAAGGCTGGTATGCCCCAACTTTACTTTCTTCTGTTTTGAAATTGCGAAAATTCGTTAACTTTTACATGCTAGTTTATACTTCCTTCAGTAGATTGTAGAGCATTGGTATCATTCTTTGAGGCATTGTTTATAGTATTGCTCTGACTGTAGTATGGTTTTTCACTAGGGAGCATTTTTACCTTTGTGTTCTAGTTCTACATTGAGAATGCATAGTTATAACTGTAATATAATTTCTGAAACTGTTTAGAAGGGAACGAAAGTGGTAGGGTTTCCATTTCTGTAGATTTAAGTGGGAGGATTTTTTATTTTTCACCTTATAAGTCCTGGCAGTTTTTAACTTGTAGGGATTGAAATGGATGATGAGGAACTTGCCCGGTTTGTAGAGCATGTTGATAAGGATAACAATGGTATTATAACGTTTGAAGAATGGAGGGATTTTCTTCTACTGTATCCACATGAAGCAACGATTGAGAACATATATCATCATTGGGAAAGGGTGTGCCTTGTGGATATTGGTGAGCAGGCTGTTATTCCAGAAGGAATTGGTAAGCATGTTCATAGGAGCAGATACTTTATTGCAGGTGCTATAGCTGGAGCCGCTTCTCGTACTGCCACTGCTCCTCTTGATCGCTTGAAAGTGGTTTTGCAAGTTCAGACATCACGTGCTTCTGTGGTGCCAGCTATAAAGAAGATATTGAAGGAAGACGGTATCCTGGGGTTTTTCAGAGGTAATGGAATAAATGTTGTGAAGGTAGCACCTGAAAGTGCCATCAAGTTCTATACTTATGAAATGTTAAAGAAGGTCATTGGAGATAATATGGGGGCCAACGAGGGAGATATTGGTACTGCTGGTAGACTTTTGGCCGGTGGTATGGCAGGTGCAGTGGCACAAACTTCTATCTATCCGTTGGATCTTGTGAAAACTCGGTTACAAACTTGTACTTCAGAAGCTGGAAAGAGTCCTCGGTTGGGGACATTAACTAGGGAAATATGGATTCATGAGGGACCTCGGGCCTTCTATAAAGGTCTGCTTCCGTCTCTTCTTGGGATTGTCCCCTATGCTGGTATCGACCTCACTGCCTATGAGACCTTAAAAGATATGTCAAAGACATATTTTCTTCACGATAATAGCGGTACAGCTTCTCTGGTATTCTGTTTTTTTTTTTTTCTTTTTTCTTTTATCTTTTTCATCTCGATAACATTTTTTGTACCGTTTGGTGAATTGCCTTTTAAATCTTACTTTTTTCCAGAACCTGGTCCTCTCATTCAGCTGGGATGTGGGACAATATCGGGAGCTCTAGGAGCAACATGTGTTTATCCATTGCAGGTTATCCGAACCAGGTACAATTTCATGGCTGAAGTCTTCCACTACTGGTTATTTATTTTTAGTGAAGAGGGCACATCCAAACTACTTGATTTTCTTCACTTCATGTTAGGTTTTCTATACCCAGTGAATTTGCTTTCGGTTTTAATATATTATTTCTTTCCAGATTGCAAGCTCAACGTTCTAATACAGCTACTGCATATAAAGGAATGTCTGATGTATTCTGGAGAACCCTTCAGCACGAAGGCTATAGAGGTTTCTACAAGGGATTGTTTCCAAATCTTCTCAAAGTTGTTCCAGCTGCAAGCATTACATATATGGTATACGAAGCCATGAAAAAGAAACTAGATCTGTAGCGAGTTGGTAACTACATTGATCTTTGTAGTTAGATATTGTAACGGAGCTGACGGTGACGAGAAAGAAAATGAGATTACTAGTTAAGTAGAGGATACGATTGTTATATGACAGATGGTGTCCCCCTTCAGGATACGGGGCACAGGATTTTCAATTTTGTAGTCGGAAAGCTTTTTTTCCCGGATTTATCATAACTTGCTATTGATGGCAAACGTGAAAGGTATTATCTTGCTCCTTTTTCTGTGTTTCTTAAGACTTATCTCTCTCTTTTACAACAAGATTTGGGCGGGACTTGATGCTGTTCTCTCAACTAAATCCGTATGTGGTCAAAATTACAATTGAGTATTGTCCTGCTCGTTTCGTAACTTCATCTTGTTCTCTTGTTGATATCATATCCTGAGATGGATATGCTGTAGTGTGTAACTGAATTTCTTGGTTGCTTGCTTTGGCCTTGTATGTTATTTAGACCATCTTTAACGCTTTGGTAAAAATATAAAAAATTTTAATTCAAAAGCGTTTTTTTCTTCTCCAACCTTTCTGGATTAAATTTTTTGCCCGAAATTATTAAAGAATGAATTTAGGCTAAATTTTTTTTTTTTTTAAAAAATGCATATCATGTAGATTATCCTAATTTAATTTATAAGCATTTTAACCTAAAAATATTTAAAATCCGAT